CGAATGCAAAGGAAATCAATTGTAAGTTATTGATGAAGTCAAACATTCCAAAATTTCTTTTCCAGCTAAGTAGCTTGATAACGAGGTTGATGTCTAGGACCTATGACCTCAATTCACTGAACAAATCACCGATTGTGCAGAAACTGAAAGTAAGAATAAAAAAGATTTAAAAGAATTGTTAGAAAAAAAAATAAGTATGCACTGTACTAAAATCGCACTCAGCCTGTATATTTCCGTAAAGTCAGTTTTGTCGTTAAAGAGAAAATACTATTTTTTTAACATATTTGTTATATACTTTTGATTTTATAATACTAGTGGAGTTTTGCGATGAGCGCTGCGGTTTATAAACAAGAGGCCCAGGGGCCACAGCGCTCACCTGAGCACACCAGCTAGGAAAAAGCACAAATCAGATCAGAACTGAGTTTACTGAGGGGGGGGGGGGGAGGGCTTAAAATTATAACCCCCCAGAGGGTCATGATTTGAACAAACTAGAATCTACACTACCTGAGGATGATTCCATATAAATATCACTAATCATTGCTTTGAAGTACTTGAAAAAGAAGATTTTAAAAGGTTTCCCGATATATCCCTATGTAAAACTTTGGTTGGCCATTTTGGCCCCACCCTAGCCCCGGGGGTCATGATTTGAACAAACTTGAATCTACACTATCTGAGGATGATTCCACCTGAGTTTCATCTTTCCTGGCCCAGTGGTTCTTGAGAAGAAGATTTTTAAAGATTTTTCCTATATATTCCTATGTTAAACTTTGGTCGGCCATTTTGGCCCCACCCTAGCACCGGGGGTCATGATTTGAACAAACTTGAATCTATACTACCTGAGGATGATTCCACATGAGTTTCATCTTTCCTGGCCCAGTGGTACTTGAGAAAAAGATTTTTTAACAGTGCCATTAATTTTTCTCTAATTCATAATTATCTCCCCTTGGAAAAGGGCGTAGCCCTTCATTTGAACAAACGTGAATCTTCTTTACCCAAGGATACTTTGTGGCAAGTTTGGTTGAAATTGGCCCAGTGGTTCTTGAGAAGAAGATGAAAATGTGAAAAGTTAACGACAACGACGACGACGACGACAGACAACGGACAAATTTTGATCAGAAAAGCTCACTTGAGCCTTTGGCTCAGGTGAGCTAAAAAGCGTAAACTGTTCCAACCCAGTTTATACCGTATAAAATGGGTAGCTATTAAATTCATTGCTTATAATTTAATTTTCATTCATTTGATGTAAGATAAAAAAGAATATTGTTCTGACAAAATGACTTCAAATTGTACAAAAGGATCACTTCATTATAAATAGGGATCTGACCTATAGGACCGGGCTTGGTTTTATTCTCTACAAAAAGCTTGTCGATTTCCGTTCTGATTAATGACATTGGGCTGAATACATATAACAATTTGTTTTTCCTAAATCTTTATTTCAGTGAGTAGAGAAAGGAGGAACCCTTTTTATTGATTTTCTGAGTTTGTTATCTCCAAATGTAATAATGATATTTGTCTTTACTTCTCATTGTGCACAAAGGTAATGTCTACTGCCTCTGAAATTCTATTCTTAATGTCTAGGCTATTTATTCGTGGATATAATAAAAAACTTGTCTTTAATGTGTGCAAATTATAAAGGCCTACATGAAATCCAAGTGAGTGCATTTACTGAAATATAAAGCCAAAATCAATGTGATTAAATTCTAAGGGATATATACAACTGAAATTCATCGCAGCTCAATGCTTCCAGGAATACCTGTATTGAGTAACACATAGTGAGTTATTCTTGTCCTCGGAGAAAGTGTGCTTATACTGAGGTTCGTTCCACCTGACTGACAACTGTACATTGGATTGTTACGATTTGATATCTCTTTAGTATTTCTTATATCAAGAATGGGAATGCATAAGGGATAAATAATTGAAGGAAAAATACACAAGTCTATAAAAAATTAAAATAGTCTTTGAAAAGGCGAAATTTAAAACTGTAAAAGTGTTGTACCAGGTGGATTCGAACCCCCGACTTTAAAAAGAGAGTATCCAACGTGTAAAAGTCAGCGCATTTATCAACTGAGCTAGTCTGACTATAAGAATAGAGGGCATAAATTTAGAGAAGATTTTGAAAATCTGGTTTCCTTATTTTTTGTAGGTTTTTTGTGAATTTCGACCCCAGGGCAGGGGTACCCCTAAAAAAATCTTATCTTAAATTATTCCTTACATTCTAACCTATCAAAATATCATAATTTTATTTAGGGGCAGGCCTGCCCTGATGGACTTTAAGGCCAAAATTCATGCAAAAATCAACGCTTTAAAGGACAAAATGGTGTTTCGATCAACTTTGGAGGGTTATTGTAAAGTAAATAATAAATTTTAGGTATAAAATACAAATTAAAAAAATTTAGACATATATACGGTAGAAAACAACAAATTATGTTCCCCAAACGGAGTTTGGGAACATATTGTTTTTACTCTGTTTCTTATTAGGGTCTTCCGCTTCCTTCGGAAGACCCTACTGTTATTCTACTGTTTCTTCTTATTATTTTTTTTTTTTTTCCCGCTCGATTTTTGATAGGCGATTTCTCAAAGACCTTTGGACTGATTTTTATGAAACTTTCAGGTTAGATACCTTGTAATTAAACCTATTTACACCTGTGTTCAATTTGTTGATGCATGCCTTTAATTGTGAGTTATTGCCCTTTAATTGATAATTTTGATGTCTCGTTTCCACTAAAAATCTCAAGAACGACGTAAGATATTTACACGAAAGTTGGAGAACTTGTAGCCAATACATTGTAGATGTGCAGAACGATAAAATTATAAGCTGATTTCCTAAAGTTTGGAAGCTATAAAACGGCAAATTTTAGTAATTTTTTTTCTTGAATTTTTGCTACTTTTTGTGTAATAACTTTTAAACCAAGAATGATTTGGTAAGAAATATATTACAAAAGTTGTGTGTAATTACGAGAGCTTTTATATTAGATTAATGAAAAGGGGCTAGCCCCTATGATTAGGGGTTAATAGTTCATACACGCGTTTTTTTTCTGATAGCTAAAAATATTGGTATATTATGAAAAAGTTTGACTGAAATAATTTCGAACTTATAAAATCTTGTCATTTGATATAAAAAGAAATAAACTTCCAGCTATATTTAACTGTTTTTTATATAAAACAAGTACATGTATGTGAGAAACCTTTCAGGAATAAGTTGTCTACTATAGCCAGCCAAGCCTTTACTGCATACATGTGCACATTTTTAGTTGATGCATCTAAAAGATATAGTTTTGATTCGGTGTTTCTTTTTTTTCTTTTTATTCAAATAATTTTAAAATGTGATGATGTACACAACAATAATTAGTGCCTAGTTTAGACATCGTCGCAAACCACGGCCAAATTGTACGATCCTCTCCCATTCTGGCCGTGGTTGAACGAGGAGAGAATTCTTCGTAGCTCATTAAAAGTTTGACCAATGCGAGTAAAGCATAGTCGGAAGATGAACTCTATCGCGACCTTTCAATATCCAATCGCAGTAAAGGAAATATTTCTTGTATACTGTTGACGTCAGTTGTTGAATTTAATTGCGATGGAAACAAAACTTGCCACTTACTGAATATGACGTCACAATAGAGAGGCGTAAATATTCAAGATTACGACACTTTTTGTGATCAAGCAGCCACGGGTAGGAGAGAGCTATATGCGGACTCCGGACCGTGGCTTGAGACGATGTAGTTTAGAGGATTGTTTGTAAACAACGCGCGGCATTGTGGGAAATAGGAAGGTACTAAAGACGCCATGTACTAAACACTTATTTGACCTGATTCAAATTTGTCTGTAAATGTTCCAATCAATTGAATTTTTGTATAGCATATGCCTCGAAGTCATAACGTCTGTACATAAGTAATTTAAAATACTCAATATTACCATTTAATTAAAAGTTAAAACGTCAGGTAAATATCAGGTCTCTAGTATATCCCGTTTTTAGTGTGCCCCTTCGAGTCGACGTCGGACACATGTTTGTCATGGTTTACAAACTGAAAGTAGAATGATTTGTGAAAGTGAACATTTTCTCACAAAGAATCCGTTTGTAGACATGCACACTCATTTAATCTGGAGCTACGAAGTACTTTGTCACTTCTCTGGAACATTATTCTAAGCAGAATTATCCCGATTCATATATTCTAAGAATCTTGTGTGAATTGTTTACGAGGAAATTCTGACTTTCACATTAACAAGGATGAACACTCTTGACTCTGCTTCGGATTCCCCAGTGATAATTGTATCGAGTGATGAAAGAGCTGACGGCGACATTTTAATGTATGATTGGTTTGGACCATTGGAATGAAGGTTAGAATATTTTTATTACTTAAAATTTACACTACTGATTACATGACAGTGACGTACATTGATGTTATTAGAAATACACAGACACACCTATATATTATCTGTTTTACAGTTCAGACGCTCTCTGTTTGCCTTGTAATTCCCCACAGCTTTATATTTTATTTTTTTGAAATTTGAGGATGTAATTTCAACAGTCCTACTATCTATCATAGTGATCATACTTTATAATTGAAACTGCACTTAATGTTACAGAATATATTCAACTAATTATATATTGACAGTGTGACTGTAAGGATGAGGGCAGATACTTATTTAGTTTTAATTTAGATTGTGCTTGTCAAGCCGCATTTGACATTTGGTGCATCCATGCTCAATGTTCACACTGAGAGTTTATTCAAATGTTTAATTCGAATGAATTCACTGCTCGTTAAATTACTTCCCATTAGCTCTATGTGAACATGAGTAAGGATAGCTAATTCAAATTAAATAGAAATGAATTTTGAATGTAGCTTAAACATATTAAAGAAGCTAAGCACTGTGTGTCCTAAGTATACTGCGGAAAAATTGTGTGGAGCAATGTGCAAGTCACAATCTTCTTTTGCGAAGGTGTTATCATAAGAGCTCGCATTATGGGCAGGGATTTGTGCTGCTGTCTGGACTCGCTATAAATAGATGTTCTCAAAAAGTCTTAATTATTTAATATTATACTTTACTGACAAAAAAGGACAAATATTGCTCAGTTGAATTGCAAAAGAAATTTGTTTAAAAAAATTGTAATAATAGAAAGTTTGCTTTTTTTGTTTGATAAGACTGCTGTAATGGTTTAATGTTTGTTTATTTGCCTTAATCATACATTTTTCAGTCATTTCATGGTGCCACCACTTGGGATGGTATTAGCTGCAAATATAGACTTGTACTCAGCACTTATTGCCTTTAAGAAGTATGAGATCCATTTTTTGCTAACACCTACCGTGACACAGAATCTTGGTTTATGCAGTCTCATAGGAGTAACCTGTCTAAAGCATTTAGCAATGGGATTGGAACCTGGGACGTAAGGTTCAGCTTCTTATTGATACTTTGATTTATTATATTTATTTGAGAATTTCACTCATTCACATACTTAGAGATGTTGATATAGATTGTTGAATAGCATCAATTTAGACCTTTACTTAGCTAAGTAAACATGTACTGTGAGGTTTTTAAGGTCTCATTCATTTTAAATGCCAGATGCATGTTAAGGAACATTACTGCATAAATGTTTTTGTCTTAAATTTGAAGCTTTTTACTAATATAGAGATATGTTAGTTTTAAACCTCTTCAAATTAGGGTAGACCTTTTCTTTAAACTCAGCAATGTGAGTGTGTTGTGTTAACTTGTGTTAGCGAGACAGTGTGTTGTATGAATTTTTGTTAGCAAGGCAGTGTGTTTTGTGAACTTAATTGTGTTAGCCTGACAGTGGGTTGTGTGAATTCTTGTTAGCTTGACAATGTGTTGCGTAAACTCGTGTTATCGGTACAGCGTGTTGTGTAAAATCGTGTATAAAGTGTAAGTGTGACAGTGTGTTGTGTAAACTCGTGTTAGCTAGACAGAGTGTTGATTGAACTCGTATTAGCGAGACTTCGTGTTGTGTAAACTGGTGTTAGTGAGACTGTGTGTTGTGTAAACTCGTGTTAGCGAGACTGCGTGTTGTGTAAACTCATGTTAGCGAGACAGCGTGTTGTGTGTATTCTTATTAACAAGACAGCATGTTGTGTGAATTCGTGTTAGCGTGACAGTGTGTTGTGTGAACTTGTTATCCTGAAAATTTGTCGTGTGAACTGGTGTTAGAGAGATAGTGTGTTGTGTGAACTTGTGTTAGCAAGATTGCATATTGTGTGAACTCGTGTTAGCCAGACTGCGTGTTATGTGAACTCGTGTTAGCGATATTACATGTTTTTTGAATTTGTAGTGTGTTGTGTGAACTCGTGTTAACCTTGACATTGTGTTGTTTGGAATGGTATTAGGATGACAGTGTGTTGTGTGAAATGGTATTAGGATGACAGTGTGTTATCGCAACAGCGTTTAATGCGAACTTGTGTAAGTGAATAGTGAGACAGCCTGTTTTGAGAATTCATGTTAGCGTGACAGTGTGTTGTGTGAACTCGTGTTTGCCTGACAGTGTGTTGTGTGAAATGGTATTAGAATGACAGTGTGTTGTGTGAAATAGTATTAGGATGACAGTGTGTTATTGCAACAGCATTTGGTGCGAACTTGTGTTAGTGAATAGTGAGACAGCCTGTTTTGTGACTTTGTGTTAGCGTGACAGTGTATTGTGTAAACTCGTGTTAGCGTGACAGTGTATTGTGTAAACGCGTGTTAGTGAGACTGCGTGTTGTGTAAACTCATGTTAGCGTGACAGTGTGTTGTGTGAATTCATCTAAGCGTGACAGTGTGTTGTGTGTACTTGTGTTAGCTAGACAGTGTGTTGTATGAACTCGTATTAGCGAGACTGCGTGTTGTGTAAAACTTGTGTTAGCGTGACAGTGTGCTGTGTGAACTTGTTATCCTGAAAATTTGTCGTGTGAACTGGTGTTAGAGAGATAGTGTGTTGTGTGAACTTGTGTTAGCAAGATTGCATATTGTGTGAACTCGTGTTAGCCAGACTGCGTGTTATGTGAACTCGTGTTAGCGATATTACATGTTTTTTGAATTTGTGTTAGCGTGACAGTGTGTTGTGTGAACTCGTGTTAACCTTGACATTGTGTTGTGTGAAATGGTATTAGGATGACAGTGTGTTGTGTGAAATGGTATTAGGATGACAGTGTGTTATCGCAACAGCGTTTAATGCGAACTTGTGTAAGTGAATAGTGAGACAGCCTGTTTTGAGAATTCATGTTAGCGTGACAGTGTGTTGTGTGAACTCGTGTTTGCCTGACAGTGTGTTGTGTGAAATGGTATTAGAATGACAGTGTGTTGTGTGAAATAGTATTAGGATGACAGTGTGTTATTGCAACAGCATTTGGTGCGAACTTGTGTTAGTGAATAGTGAGACAGCCTGTTTTGTGACTTTGTGTTAGCGTGACAGTGTATTGTGTAAACTCGTGTTAGCGTGACAGTGTATTGTGTAAATGCGTGTTAGTGAGACTGCGTGTTGTGTAAACTCATGTTAGCGTGACAGTGTGTTGTGTGAATTCATCTAAGCGTGACAGTGTGTTGCGTGTACTTACGTTAGCTAGACAGTGTGTTGTATGAACTCGTATTAGCGAGACTGCGTGTTGTGTAAAACTTGTGTTAGCGAGACAGCGTGTTGTGTGAACTTGTGTTAGCGAGACAGCGTGTTTGTGAATTCGTGTTAGCATGATAGTGTGTTGTGTGAACTCGTGTTAGCCTGATATTTTGTTGTGTGAAATTGTATTAGCGTGACAGTGTGTTGTGTGTTAGTGTGACAGCGTGTGGTGCGAACTTGTGTTAGTGCGAAAGTGTTTTTCAGTGTTGTGATGGCGAGCTGTGTGATAGCCTAATGGCGTCTTTTGTGTCGGTAAAATGGCACGCTTTTATGAAAGTGCTATTGAGCTTTAGCAAGTGGCCCTATCTGGACAAGCCTTATTATAATTGATCAGTTCTCAGGTATACAGTGAATTACCGGTATTATTGTCACCATGAAATCAGCATTTACAGTTGCAATTACCTAGTTAGTAATCATAAGATATTGGTTTGTCAGTTTTAAAATTATAGTGTTCCAATGATGTGAAGTTGCAGTGTGTTAGCATGTTAATTTCAACAGACTACCACTCCAATGCAGCTTTAAACAACACGCTGCTGTGTTAACACAAAACAAAATATCATGCAAACACAACTTTAAACAATCTGTTGAGTGTTAGCTTCACTGCATGTTGGATTCAGTGTGCTGGCATATTATCACTGACGTACATGCTAGCACATTGTCACCTCGTGCTAGTATGTTGTCATAAATACTCTAGCACATTATCCTAAACCCACTAGTGCATGATTACTTTGCACTTGTATGTTGTCTTATTAGGGAATAGCATAAATGACTGCCTTAATTGGTGTAAACTTCTTTTAATTGATGAAAGAGTACATTAAAATTTACAAATTATACACAGAAAATGTTACAACATCTTATCTCTCAATTTGATAATCTAATTTATAATCTCATGAATTGCACTTTTTATTACATGTAGTAAAAGAATTATAGATTAAAAAATTACAATTTCTTTTGGATAGGTGTGACTCATCTGAAGACTGAATTTTGATACCAAGCATGACCATGAATTGCCAGAAAATCATCTGTTTGGATGTGACATGGAATAAACAGCATAGTGAAAATAAGTCAAGTTTTGGTTTGTGAAGACAATTTTTAAACACACTGTGTATCATTTTTAAATTTTGATTTGACAATATAAATCCACAAATATGAACATATCAATTGCTCTCAGTTTTTCAAGTGAAATAGTTTTTGTAACAGAAATACATGTACCAGTAATTACATTGGAATAAATGTTATTTTTAAATATAATAATATTTTGTTTGTGTTGCATGTTGACCTCTTTATTAAGGTCTTCCCTTTCAAAGTTTAGACTTACTTATTCTAAAGATTAAGATAAATCCTCTGTCTTCAGCAGGAATAGAAGATCTTGTAATACATGTATGTGTATTTTTTACAGTATAATGTAAAAAAAAATTTGTTATTTTGGCACACACAACTAATTAAAGGCATAAACATGTGTATGATTCCAAGGAATTCAGTACATAGGGCATGTACATGTAGTTTTCTAAAACAAGATTGAAGAGATGTCCAGTCGCATTTCAATGTGATTGTCAACTGCAAAACTGTGCCTGTTGCATACTTATTAGCCCATCTGAGCTAAAGGAACCAGTAAATTTTTTAAAAACATAATTTTATCCATTATCATCATTGTCTAAAATTTCACAATATCATTTTCCAAAGTGAAACTTGGCACAGAGCATCCTTAGTGTAGGGGATTCAAATTGTTCTTATGCAGGGCAATACTTTCAAAGAGATTTGTTTCTTTAATGCTGTACAGTAAATGTATTATATTTAGCTTGTACAATATTTGGTGGAAATTGACTTTTGAATAAGTTAGCGTAGATATTCTTATTTATGTTTATGTACAAGACTTTTAGCTTTGTACTTGATTTAGTGATTGCTGCATTCCGCCAAAGCCGCTAAAAAAGAATACACAGCCATATGTAATATGTTTACAATATACCTTTCAGAGAATTTTACACTCCTATTGAGGTACCACCAGTTGCTAGTGGAAAGCTGCAAATTCGAAACATACACAACACTTTTCTGTGCGTTTATTATAAAAGTATTGTTCTACTTACTGATTGCAACTCATGAAGATTGTTCATCATTATTGTAAATACATTTGGATTTTTTGAATTATTATATAATTTGTTTATTTTATTTATCTAGTTATAATGTATATTAAATGATTTTAAAGCCATTTTTAAGATGGTAATGTAGCAAAACACTTATGTTTCTGTAGTATGACACGTTTCACAAACATAATTGCAACAAACATGATATATCCGATATCAAAAGTCATAATATTGGAAGTTAAACTGTTGTGAATACGATTTTAAGAATGCTGTTAGAGAGAGTACCCTTTAGACCTCATGCTCACACCAAATTAAAGAATTCAAGTAAGGGTTTCTGAGACAAATCGAAAAAGAGAATGTTAGCAAAGTTGACAATCTAGACAGAAACATTTAATCTTTTGCTTATCGCTAGGAAGGAAGACCCACTCGTTGCTTTGCAACGAGCTTTGCTCTAGTTATTATTATTAAGGTCTTCCGGCTTCAGCGGAAGACCTTCTAGTGATTCTTAGGTTTCTTTTTCACTTTTCTTATTATTATTATTGTTTTTTTTCTTACCGATTTTGTGCACGCGATTTCTCGAAAACGGCTCGATGGATTTCTATGAAACATTCAGGACTAATGAGGCATTACTTGAACTCGATTCATTTTTTTCCGTTTTGATGACGTCACTTCCGGTTCGGAGTTTTCTGCGATTTTGTGATTTTTAGAGGGTCACTTTGTCCGGCAGTTTTCTCAAAAAGCACTTGACACAGCCGCATGAAATTTTCAGTGATACTAGAGCAACCTTTGGAGAGGGGTATTAGGTATATCATAATTACCGGAAGTATGAAGCGCCGACGCTCGTTATGATCCGACAATAGTCCTATCGCGAATTTCAAAATTTTTAGCCCATTTTCTACAATATCTATTTACCTGGAAATATTTTGTTTAAACATATAGAACAAAAGAAGTGTAGAATTTTCCCTAAATAGAAGGGCCTAGAGGGGCCGAAAGTTTTTTCTTTATTTCTCAAAAAGTATTGAGAATTTGTAATATGTTAAAGAAGCAAAGTTGTTCAAAATGTCAAGCTTCATCTATTGGAGTCGTCAAAATACGTCCGTCGTCATCACTTCCGGCCAAACCGGAAGTGGTCAGAAAACGCATTTTTTTGCCGTTCTTGACAAGTTTTTGGGTTACATATGTCTCTGGGAGCATAAAAAGAAGTTTTTCCGTCCGTTGTCGTCACTTCCTGTCAAACCGGAAGTAGCAAAAAATGGCTTATTTTGAGGGTTTTGATGCAAAATTGAAATTATTAAGTCACTGGAGACAACTTAGCTTATTGCTTTCTTTTGTTCCGTCACTTCCGGCACTACCGGTCAGAACTAGACGGAAGACCTACTCGTTGCTTTGCAACGAGCTTTGCTCTAGTTTTTTTTTCTTATTTGTTCTCCGGTACTTTTTTGTCCGCGAGTGTTCTCAGAAACTGTTCACCCAACTGAGCTAAAACCTTTTTAGGGTTAATAGGTGTGTAGTGTAGGTGTGCGGAACGAAGGTCATTTTGCGCGCATACGCATGCACGTGCGTGCGCGTGAAATGAGTGAATTGACTGATATACTTAATATAGCTATAACTTTTACATTTTTTGATGAAATGATTTGAATCTCATTATATAAGGATAGATTAGTAGTGTACATAATGTGATACTGTCAAATTTGCACGAACTCACGCGCATGCACGTGCGCTTCGCTCTGATTGGCTGAAACAAAAATCTCAATATCTTCTCTGTTTTTTGACAAAATGCTTTGAAATTTAAAACATAGGCATGCTTTAGGATGTTCTACAATATTGTGTATAAGAATTTTCATCAAATCACGCGCATGCACGTGCGCTGCAATCTGATTGGCTCAAACGTTAAATGGCTATAACTCCCGTGTTTTTCAACCAAACAGCATGGGATTTAGAACGTAGACAAACATAATGGACTCCTAGAAGAAGGTATAGTCATCATGAACATACTTGCACGTGCATGAACGTGCGCTTCGCTCTGATTGGCTGAAACAAAAATCTCAATATCTTTTTTGTTTTTTGACAAAATGCTTTGAAATTTAAAACAAAGGCATGCTTTAGGATATCCTACAATATGATATATAATAATTTTCATCAAATCACGCGCATGCACGTGCGCTGCAATCTGATTGGCTGAAACTTTAAATGGATATAACTCCCTTGATTTTCAACCAAACAAGATGGGATTCAGAACATAGATAGATATTATAGACTCCTACTGCAGGGAATGGTCATCATGCACATGCATGCACGTGAAATGAGTAAAATTCCAAATACACTAGATTCAACATATTTTTGGATTTAATGCTGTAATATTTAGTATATTAAAATATATCAATAGTGTAGACAAGATGATATGGTCATTACGCACATGCGTTCAAATGCGCATGCGTGCAATGCTTAAATTGAATACTTCTGGTAAAACTTTGTTAAAGTCTTAAATGTATGGCGTTTGTCTTATTTAATCAAGCTTACAGGGAATAAGGCACCAAAAGGGAGTTGGGGAGCGTTTGGGGAACATCTGTAACGGTTCCCGTTACAATTAGCACTAGTTAAGATTGATTTTTAAATGTCACTTTTTCCGGGAAATTGTTCTCTCCTATAGGTCAATTCTTTTGTTAAAGCGAATACATCCTTTGAATGTAACGTCAGGCGGATTGATACGTTTTTGACGAAAGTCATTGTGATGTAGGCAACCCATTTTATACGATATGAAGTAATTTTTTTATCCAATCAAATACAGTGTTACAACCAGAATAAAATTATCATTTAATTAAACGAAAATAACGGGTTATTTCAAAGCACAAATATGCTGGCCTTGAAGAACCCGGCAACCACCCTACCCGCAACTCCCAGTTTTCACATGCTAGTTCCCCTAACACCACATCTATAACAACTACAAAGGTTTTCTTTTTTATAATCAGTTCCGTATCTCCATAAATGACAAAGGTTTCAATGTCAGAGACAACCGTCAACTGTAAAAGCCAGTGCTTCCCGCAAAAGTCCCGTATTCAGTTCATTTATTGATATCACCATGTTGGTATATATTCAAAATAATAAATCAAAGAACACGGAACAGAAAAAAGAAAAAAAACATAATTATTCATGGGCGTCGGAAGCAAATTGAAAGTGGGGGGGGGCTAATTGAAAGTGGAAGGGGGGGCTAATCCAACTAAAAAAGGTTAGCCCCAATTTTCAATGCTTACATTATGTTTATGTTTGCAAAAATGTGTGGGGGGGGGGGGGGAGGGGGGGCTAAGCCATACCCCCCCCCCCCGACGCTCGCTATGGCCCGAAAATATTTCAGACGCCTATGATAATAACAAGCGATACAATTTCACAGCATTCTTTATCATGTCTATAGTCCCTGGATTTGTTTTTTCTGCATTAAGCATTAAAAAAAAATACATGAACAATTATATGGGTTTACAATGTCTTTAATGGGATCACTAATATAAGAGGATTAAACTAGTGATTACACACGTATGAGATGTTATTTACCTGTGAGTAAACCCCCCCCCCCCCCCCCCCGCCCGAAATTTTATATTTCGTGAATAAAATGAATTTGTAAGTTTCATCATATGACGAACATGAGGAAACTTATCTATTCCTAAGTAGGAAAATTGACATCATTGGCATGTTGTAAATTTTATTCATTAACCAACCAGTAAAATGTAAGATAAGTGCCTTGTACCGTCTTTATGTAAACTTGTAAATATTTTTATCCGAAATTCAAAACTTGATTGTTCACTGAGTCTTTCGGTTATATTTTGGTAAACGCTTTTATATATTTATTTACTTAGTATAGCTCAATTTTACTCTGTAAAGGACAAATGAATTTTTTCCAAGTCGAAAACTGTCCATATTTTTTGCAAAATGGGCATATTAGGAGATTTAATGTATTGTCATTTACCTAAAAATTTCCATCGCTCCAACTGAAAGAAGACAATATTCGTCATAGATTTCGATGAATTTAAGTTGCCTTTTTTTTTTTTTTTTTTTTTGAAATACTAATATTCTACATTTTACACTTTGTTTGCTCCTATTAGCGCTGTGAAAAATCTTTTCGAAATAATCAAAATGTATTTGTTTCAGTTATTTTATTCATTTGTGTTTTAGAAAACTATTTTTAAAAAGCAACAAATTTAAACATTTCATTCCGTGATTGTATTTTTTCGCGTG